CCCCAAAACCCCAAAACCCCAAAACCCCTTGTAGCAAATTAGTAATGAAATTAATTTATCATTGGTTTAATAATAATCTAAGATATGAGTTAACAACTGAGTCATGCTCATTAAGAGCAGCCATTTTATACTCTGGAGTTATCGCAGAAACTACTCTTCCTTTTAAGCTACTATCGTTTTCAGTCATTGCTACTAATGCTTTAGCACATATCCTATTACCCATTACATTGTGTAAATCCTTAAGTCCATCAATAAAAGCTTCAACACCTCCATGATGAAGTATATGACCTTTGAGATATTCTCTCTAAGCGCAATTAGCAATAGTTTACAGTGAATAGTTTTTAAATTGTACAGAATGTCTAAAAGACTTAGCACAGTCAACTAGGAATGGAATATGAATATGCATTTCAATATCCATAGTCTCTTTGGCTGACTATGAACCTTATTAATTGAAAATATCGCTTTTAACCATTATTGCTTTCATTGCTACTTCTTAAAACGAGGTAATATCGCAAATAGCTAAATTTATCAGCTTTGGGAGATCTATAACTACAAAAGCCAAATCTATAACTCTCTCGACAAATCTCTGCAAAATATTCCTTAGAGATGGATGATGTACTTTATAGCACTTAACTATTCTCATGATTGTCTCATTTCTAAAAGCATCAACAGCTCTCTCCTCAGTCAAGTACTTAATGGTATAGTCTAATATCTTTATTTGAGAGTCTCGAGCATTCTCTGGAAAGTTATAAAACTCAAAAAGCTTTAATACAGCAAGGAATCTCTCTGTTGAAGTCATAATATCTTAAACACAATCTATAAATTTATGAAGAAAACTTTAATATTTTACGCTCTATGATTCTATCAATTTAATGCATTGCAAAAATAATAACGTCTCTATTGTTAATCTCAGGATGTAGCATTTAGCAGTAATCATTAAGAAGATTTGTGGAATATGGTAGCTTTATTGGTGGATACTTATCTAATACTTTATATGCATCCTTCAAATAAGTAACTTTGTAAGGATGTATATTATAATGATCTTTTATTTATTCTTCTTTTTATCTTTGAATTACATCTTCAACAGTTGATCTTAGAAATTTAGATAAAGCTCCTTTAGGACTTGGAGGTCTAATATAAATTAATGAATATTATTTACTTTGAGAAATTGACTGTCCTATTATAAAAGTTATTTTTATCCCAAGTATCAACTCCTATATTTATTTAAAGAAAATAATATTACCTCCTGATAGGATTGAAGAATATATCATCTATGTTTTTTCTGGGAATAAAGTTTTCTGTAGAATTCTCTCTTCATCTGAAAATACAAGCTCCTTTTTCACAACAGGAGTAAAGAAATTTTTAGTTCTTTAATCATAATCATGCATATGCATGTTAGCCAACGACTTTGATGAATATAGTCCAGTAGAAGATGAACTCTTATGCATAAGTGAATCTTTATATTCCCCCTTCAATAACGATGAAGCTATTCTTCTCTCCAAAGGATCTGCTACTGAACCTCTCATATTGTCGAATCTATAAAATTTAATAAATCTTACTAGCAATGAGAAATTTAACTAACCTACTCAGTTCATAATGGTTAAGTGCATGCAATGATGTGCTACTATTTAACGCATGAACAATTCTAAATATTTGCTGCTTTGTGCTACTGTTAATGTAGGGTTATTTGCTTATTGTAAGCAATTTTTCCATGCAATCTCTGTTCTTGAATCTACTACAGAATCCATATGATTTGCAAAGCATTTCTATAATGACGAGAGTATTATTAAGTACAAAGTTATCCTTATCGATCATTTCTTTTACCCAATGTTACATTACAAGAATAACTAATTCTAGCAAGTTATTAACCTTTGGATGTTCATCTAATATTCTGATCAAATCTGCATTGAAAATTTTGTTGAGAACTACGCATAAATTTTACACAAGATGTAGCTCATTAGTAAGACCCATAGATATTACTGACTAAAGTAAATCTAGTTTGTCATCATATTCCCTAATATAAGTATCAGTTAGCTTTGAGACCACAGAATAGTGGACATTCTTTAATGTGCCTACCAGATCATTCGAAGAGGAGTGCTTATTTGAGGAAAATTATGCATTCAATTCTACTTCATAAATATCTGGATAGACATCAATCGTATCACCATGCTTGAAAACCTCTCCTACAAGAGTTCCATTAGTTATATTATAGTTTGTTGAATCTTTTATAGTTCCCACATGATAAGGATCATCCTGTGGATAGACAGAAGCCATTTCATTCTCAATTTTCTTCTTAAGTTACGCAATCGTCATGTTGGGTGCAGCCATAACTATTAGTTTCCTCTGATTTGCCTCTGACCTGAAATCTCTTTTGACATTTACAAATAGTCTAAAACTTTCATCAAAGTAAGGTAGTTCCCTTTAAGCGGAAAAATCTCAAGTAGACTTATAAGTTTTCATCCAGTTATAGTTACCCCCAATAGAATCAGAATCAAAATCAGTCATTATTTTAGAAACAATTATTTATTTTTAAGTTATTATATTTTTCTTTTAGCTGCTCAACGGGGTTTTGGGGTTTTGGGGTTTTGGGG